CAGCTGCACCTCGCTGAATCCTGATTTCCATCCCAAAGGAGCAAAAGAACCCTCAGCTGGTCAGCAGCATCTTGGGCAATTTAAAGCCCCACAGAATGAGATTCCAGGATGAAGGGAAATCCAGATGATAATGCTTACTATAGAAGCTCTGCAAATAAAAAGAGAACTCAAGCTGCAGGTGCAATTAAAAAGTCCAGAGGAGGGCCAGGGATTTAGATCAGTGGTGCCGCCATCTGCCTCACAAGAGCAAGGTTCCAAGTTCGATCCCTGACACTGAAAAATAAAAAGTCCAGAAGAAGTGGTGGGAGATACAAACGTATTCATGGTTTTTAAATTGAAGAGATGAAATCCTGTGCATAAAGATGAGCTACTGAGGAATTAAGAACAGAGTCTGGCAACCTTTTTAAAGCAACAGGCTGACAGTTGAAGATGGGGAGAGCCATGTGGAGAAGACCAGGATTGCAGCTTGCTGCTCTCCAGAGGGTGCAGTGATCCTACGTCACAGGACACAAGGTAGGTGAGCGGGTACTTTATACACAACAAATCCAGGCATCCCACTACCTGATGGGAAATGTACAATTCTGCTAGCAAGATATGGAGAAAAAGATGAATGGAAACTTCTAGGCACCGTCACTCACGGTTTCCATTCAGAAAGTAGACTAGGGCCGGGGATTTAACTCAGTGGTTCCGCCGCTTGACTTGCAAGTGCAAAGTCCTGAGTTCAATCCCCGGTACCAAAAAAAAAGAAAGAAAGAAAGTAGGCTAAAGCGATGGGACGGAGTCCCTGGGGTAGGCGGGAGAGCCCTGGCGGTGTGGCGTGAGGCTGATCTTTCTGGAGACAGCAGGGAAATACTCCAGCAAGCACCGCGGAGTCGTTCACATGCTTTGCTCCGGTAAACTCAAGATCTTGGGCAAATATCCTTAAAAGTATAAAATTCCCTTGATGTTTATATATAAGCAAGTCAGATTGTTTGGTATAAGAAACCCAAACATCCTGCGACATTAATACATATGCTTGTCTTGTGTCACTTGGTTGCCTTTGAGAAAAAATAAGCTATAATTTATCTGATGATAATGTTTTATGTGGGTACTGAGGACCGAACCCAGAACCTTCACACTGAGCTTCATTCCAGTCCTTTCAAAATGTTTTAATTCTGGGACAGGATCCCCAAGTTGCTCGTGTGCCCAAGCTGGACTAGAACTTGTGATCCTCCTGCCTCAGCCTCTCAGAGTGCTGGGATCATAGGGGTGCACTAGCGTGCCCCACTTACTTAAAGCAGCTACCACATTCCGGTAACACTCAGTGAGTTTAATTTCATTTATTTTCATTAGTTGAGGCTGTAACAGTGCCTGGAAAACGGGCCAACTGTATTTTAACCCTGGGGCCTTGGGAAACGCAGCCAAACTGTAGCCAGACACAAAGAACCCAACAGGAGACAAAAACTACTAAACTGGCCTTCGTCAAAATTAAAAATATTTGTGCTTTCAAAGGCTCTGCAAAGACGATAACAAGGCCAGCCAAACTGTCCCCCAGAGGACACGGACATGTACGTATGAAGTGACCTGAAGTAACAGTCCCGTGTGTGCAGTGAAGTGAGGCGGGGTACTCACAGAGCGCTCTGGCATACGGGGCTCTCGGGCGTGGACACAGAAGGCGCCTCAGAGGACTCAGATGGACAGGAGAGACAGCTGAGAGGCTCAGAAGTCAGCCAATTTGGTGGTTTTCAAACTGTGTTCCTTAGAACCCTGGGGCCTGGGGAGGTCCGTGGTAATTTATGGGAAAGAGCCTGGGGTAGGCCTCAAACTACCACACACAGGATGGCTGCTTTCCCTAGGAACATGGGACACAGAGCAATTTATTTATTTATTTAGAGACAGACTCTATGTAGTTCAGGCTGGCCTTGAACTCAAGGATCCTCCTGCCTCAGCCTCCCAAGTTCTGGGATTACAAGCATACATCACCATGCCTGGCCCACACAGACAAATTTTAAAAGGAAAAACACAAACCACAAATATAACTCACTGCTTTTCCTTTTAGACAAAGGAAACAGACTTGGGAGGAAGTGATTCCAGTAGGTTACAGATAGCACTGTTCCCTTTCTGGGAAGAGAGCAGGAAGGAGAGTCTATCCAGGACAGTTCGCAGCCCACCACTCATTTGAAGCCAGTGGGCCATCTCCACCCTCGTCCCCAGGCTGTTCTGCCATGGCTGTCACATCTGGGGCCAGGCTGGCACTGGGTGGGGACTGAGATGCAGGAGGTTGCTTTTCCCCTGGGTTTGTCCCTGTGTCCTACTGGACAGAGCTGTGACCATGGACCGAAGAGGTCTGGGAATTTCCTCCAGGACAGAGGCCAGACCCATCTTCGACTTCCAGTAAGTCACCTGGGGCCCCAGGACCGCAGGGCCAAAACCACCGGCCACACAGTGGGTGTAGCTCAGAATAGTGCTGGTTGGCGGGGTCTCTGAGACGTGTTCCGGCCTGCCCTGAGGTCCCTCACTCAGGCCTCCTCAGCCAACTGCTCCAGGTCCTTTAGGGTATCATGACTTTTTCTTTTTTTACAGAATGTATAAAATGACTTTGGGGGTATTGCCAACATTTAAATTACTTCTTAGTTTCTAGCAAAGTATTATCATAAAAGTTATTCTACTGTCAAAAATGTAGGTTAATCACAAGTTAGGAAAGAGAGTTTTGCCCAAGATGGGGCATGGTGGCGTCATGCTTGATGACCTGGCCACCTCCTGTTCCCTGTCCCCTGAGGTGAGGCTGTGGTCACTTCGGGGGCCTGCAGGGGCCAGTGGCTCCTGGGTTTCTGCCCTTCCTGCAGTGCCGACAGAGGGCGCCCGTGACACCATCAGAAATGGCTCCTGATTGGCCGGCTGGGCCCATTTCAGGGACCCTCACTTCCTTCTGCTCCGCCAACATCCAAGGCGCCCCAGATCCCGCAGGGACAGGCAAAGTCACAGCTACCGCTGCTTAGAAAAGGAAGTGTTCTCTGCAGATTTAAGATGACAAAGCCCCATGGCCTGCACTTCCCAACCAGAAGGGACCAGGGCAAGGACTGCGATGTTACCGCAGCCGCTGGGCGTCGGGCGTGGACAGATTAGAACCCGAACCTGGCACCACTGAAAACGGGAGTGGATGCTATATTTGTTTGGATCCTATATTTGAAGAAATAAGAACGACATAGACAGCTTTTACGTATGGTTTCTTCTTTGGAGAAATAGAAATTGTTTTGACCATCAAAGCTCAGTGATTTTTGTTATTTGAGCGCGACCCGCCGAGCCCGTAACCTGGGAGCTTGCTCGCCTGTCGCGGCCCCCTTGAAGCGGCCAGACCCAGGCCAAGGCAACCAGGTTCTCGGGGTGCCTCAGAAGGGGCTGGTGTCCTCTTCGTGGGCCCTGGGGTCCCACGCGCACCGCCCAAGCGGCGACCAGGTCCCTTTCTCAACTGAGCCGAGACAGCCAGGGCGCCTGCCGCGCTGTGGGTATTTTGTTGCAGCCGAGACGACGCCCATCCGTGCTGGGGATGGAGCGCGATGGGGCATCAGCAAAGGGACCGGGACGGACTCCTGGGCTGGCGACGGGGTCCCTCGCTGCCCAGTGCGGGGCTGAAGGGACAGGGGTGACTCCCTCTGAACCCCTGGGGGCTGGCGTTGCAGAGAAGGAGGAGGAGCTCCCGGCCAGGCCGGGCCAGGCAGAGGGGTCCACGGCTCATCACCCGCCCCGGTGCTCGGGGCCCGCCCAGCCCTGGGCTTCTTGTTAATGGGCCACGAACAAAGAGCACACAGACAGCAGCTTCTTTTTTCTTCAATTTAATTGAAGTATCGGGGCCCGCCCAGCCCTGGGCTTCTTGTTAATGGGCCACGAACAAAGCACACAGACAGCAGCTTCTTTTTTCTTCAATTTAATTGAAGTTACTTAGAAAAATAATCGGGCTGGAATGGCTTTTCCTAGAGAAGCTTCAGGCCGGCAGCATGGTACCCAGCTCTCCTGACAGCAGACTGAGGTGTGGAGCGTTCGCCACAGCCCGCCCTGCACTAGGTACAAACCAGCAGCTCGGCTAGGCTGCGAGCCCAGCGGCCGCCTGGAGCACTGGGGCGGGCGTGGCGGGCACTTGGGGAGCAGTGTGGTCAGTCCAGCTGACGGGGAAGGAGGGGGCTGGAAGCTAGGCCTGCGCGCGTGTGAGACGGCTGGGCAGCGGGAGCAGAGGGCTGACCGGGAAAGCCTCCCTGATCTTTGCCAAGTTAGCTCAGCTTTGGTCCAGTGCCCACTGGCTCAGCGCACTAGGGATTCACGCACCGTTCTGGGGGAAGAGCATGGCTTAGACCCTGTGCTTCCACACCTTGCTCCCTGAGCACTGATGTCACCAAGGTTCCCAGCACCCACACTCACCTGGGGCCTCTGGACCCCAGTGTGACAGGGAAGACAGTGCTTTCTGCACTCTGCAGAAACAGTTGCATCAGTTTTGTATTTAAAAAAATTACGTTATTAGAAAATAAAATGTGAACCCAAAACAGAACAAGAAAAGCGGCTCGTTTCAGGAGGGCGAAGCTGATGAGAGGCGGTGGGCACCGAGTGCCCTGCGGGGACTGCGGCAGACATGGGACAGACACGTGCATCTCCAGGACAGCTGGACAAGTGC